TTTTGTTCTTTTGTTTTAGACAACAAGCTATTAAGGTACCAGACGTCCCGCTTTTGACGGGACAGTCCCGAATTTTAACAATTTGTCCCGTGTCTCGCGGCGTTTAAAAAAAAAAGTCCAAAAATTTAAAAGAATCTTTCCAAAAATCGGGACTTTTTTAAAACGCCGCGAGACGCGGGACAAATTGTTAAAAATCGGGACTGGCCCGCCAAAAGCGGGCCGTCCGGTTACCTAGTAACTAGGTACTAAGCCTTCGGGATTTTCTGGCTTGACTCCACTTTCAGACTTAACATATAGGCCCGAGCTGGGTCTCTCGGCTTTCCAGTTTTAGTTGCTGGCGCTTTTCCACCTAACCTCTGCTTCTAGGGCAAGTATTCATTCCGCTCTGTCTTGCCCCATATCGCTTTTATGTTATGCAATTCTGATTCCTAGATGCTGTATCAGGTGCTGCGGATGGTCTCCTGTCAATCTTCTGTGCTTGAAAGCAGGATGCTGGCAAAGCGTTCATGCTTCAGACACAATGTGAGAGGATTCCTAAAAAGCACTTTTAGAGTTTGCGGGGAGGGGTTAGGTGTTTCGACTACAAAATGTAAGCTGAATTGAAAATAAAATTTTGGCTGTATGCAAAACATAACATGTCTTCTCAGTTTTGTGTTACATATTCATTTAAAAAGTATTTATTGAGCACTTGCCATTTGGCAATTACTATGAAGGGGGATCTAAAGGCTTATGAAAAGTATAGGAAGTGGTCACTGTATAGTTGGGGAGATGACATAAACTGGATATATATTATATATTATATAATATTATATTATATCATATATACATTTATACATATATATGGTGTAGTGCCAGAGCAAGAGAAAAGACTATGGGATGGAATAGCTAAGGAAGGACTTCATGTAAGAAATATTACTTGGGCCTGTCTTCAAGAATGAGTAGTAAAATTTAAACAGTGGATGAGGAGGAATATTTCTGATGGTGAATACACTGGGACCTAAGGAAATATTTTTAGTGTTTATACGCTGTTAACTGCGGATGCAGTCTGCCCCAGGTTGAATCCTGGCTCTGCCACTTGGGCATGTCACTTAGCTATGCCTCACTTTCCTTGTCTACCAATCGCACAGATTTTATATGAAGATTAAATGAGAAAGCTCCATGCTATTTAAATTAAAAGGCTTGGAGGTATAAAGTGAACACAACCCAGTACATTTTCAGGTGACAATGGCAGGAGTATATACTAGGAAGTTAATAAGGACAGGTTAATAAGGTAGGGTCAGATTTGAATGAGCCAAATAGTTTGTCCCTAATCTTGTAGGTGATGACATTATTTTTTTTTTTTTTAGTAAAATAGAGATAGAGGGTGAAATTACAAAGGCATTGTTTTAGAAAGTTTAACTCAGGAAGCAGCTTTACTGGGTGAAAATGATCCAAAGTTCCCTTACTCATTTTTATTTTATTTTTTTTAATATATTTTATTTTTTACAGAGTGGAAGAGAGAGGGATAGAGAATTAGAAACATCGATGAGACGACCGGAGTAAAACCCCTGGACTGGAAGAAATTCTCTCTCTTCCGCCATGCTGCCGGCATGAGTGGGGGGGGCCCATGCTATCATGGAAAAGGCTCTTTTGTTTATTGCATCGGACTCGGCTCCCTGGTGGTCCTTGGGGATCACGAAGTCTGGGCATAACACTCTCATAAGAATTCATTGATAAACCCTGTCTATGGAAAGCAGCCTGGAGATTAGTCAAAAAAATTAAGAATAGAGCTACCATATGACCCAACAATCCCTCTCCTAGGAGTATATCCAAAAACCTCAAAATCATGTACTTAAGGTAATATTCAGTCTCTGATTGTAATTTAGAAATGTACTAGGTGTACCAGTTAATAATGTGGATTTTGTAATCAAAGAAAACATGGTAATTTCAAGAGAAAAAAAAAAGAAAAAAGAAAAGAAACATCGATGAGAGAGAATCATCGATCAGCTGCCTCCTGCACACCCCCCACTGGGGATGTGCCCGCAACCAACGCACATGCCCCTGACTGTAATGGAACCCGGGACCTTTCAGGCAGGCTGGCACTCTATCCACTGAGCCAAACCGGTTTAGGCTTCCCTTACTCATTTAGAATAATATTCAGGAGGGGAGGAGAGTGAGGAGGGTGGGAAATCAACCAAAGAATATATATACATATATGCATAGCCTTTGGACACAGACAATAATAGTGGGGTGAAGGCCTGGGGCGGGGGGGCAGGGCCAGAGTTGGAGGCAAAAGTGGGGAAAATGAGGGATAATAGAGTCAACAACAAAAATAGAAACAAACAAAATATAGAATAATGGGTGTTCAGAAGTACAAGAATAGGTAACTTTTTAGATTTTTAAATTGATTTTTAGAGAGGGGCAGGGCAGGAGAGGAGAGAGAGAGAGAGAGAGAGAGAGAGAGAGAGAGAGAGAGAGAGAAAACATTTATATAAGAGCAAAACATCCATCAACATCCATGGGATGCCCCCCCCCCCTCCACCTACACCTCACAGGAGAAGGAGACAGTCTCCTGCATTCAAACCAGCAACTCCTGGGTGCACAGGTCGACACCCAAGGAACCCAGCCTCACAGACCAGGGCTACTGTTCTGTAGATAATGATCACCAGATTTAGCTTCAAATACAGAGAAGAATGCTGCTGAAAACTATTACCTAGACATCAGCAAAAAAAAGAAAAGAAAAAATGAAGATAGCTATTCACACTATAAAATGGGAACTGATAGCCGAAACAGGTATGGCTCAGTGGATAGAATGTCAACCTGCGGACTGAAAGGTCCCGGGTTCGATTCCAGTCAAGGGCAGTACTCTGGTTGTGGGCACATCCCCAGTGGGGGGTGTGAAGGAGGCAGCTGATTGATGTTTCTCTCTCATTGATGTTTCTAGCTCTCTATCTCTCTCCCTTCCTCTCTGTAAAAAATCAATAAAAATATATTTTTTAAAAATCAAAAAAATAAAATAAAATGGGAACTGATATTCATAATGATAACCTTGGTTTAGCCAACAAAGATTAAGTTCTTCCTGAGATGGTTTTAATATTGAATAGCATAATCTATGCTTTTAGAAATGGGTGACCCACATATATGTGTAAAGAGTTAGCTACAACTATATCTGCTAACTCAGCTAAAAAGCTTGTTAACTAGAAGACCCTATCTTCCTAGTCATTTTAAGTAACCTGGACTTGGCTGAGCAGTTGCATTACAGACCTATCACTGATGCACTGAATTGTTTTTTCTTTTTTAAAAATTGTTTTTCTCATATTGGGATGGATTTAGTCACGTTTGTGTCTTTTGCAGCACAGCCTTACATATAAATAAGATGGCAGCTCATGTGTGCTGCTGGAATCCCTGACCTTGATGGCATTAGCAAATAGCTCATGTGGGTGCTATTGGCATATGTCAATCTTACTCCTATGAAATATCTGGGAGGATGGATAAAATCTTAAAAGCAAACATAAAAGGGGTGCAATTTATTGTGTGTAAATTATACCCCAGCAAAGTTAATTTCAAACAAATTCTGAACCTGGAGTCACTTTCAGGGGACCAAGATGTATGATGATGCTTAGTAAGCTTTGGGAAGCCGCCCCCTGATACCGTAAGAAAGTTCTGTTCATTTATCATCTTGCAAGCATAATCTAGGCTTCTGGCAAATTAGAACCGACCACTTTCTTCTACATTCAGTTGTAGAGGGGTGAACCCTCCTGGGGGTTTTCAATTCCTTCTGACACTCCACCATTCTAGAAGGACTTATGATCGTATGGAGAGCCCAGGAATGCAAGACACTATGAGCTTTATGCCTGGTCCCAAGATCCCTCCACCTGGGCCTGAAATGGTTAGTCCCCGGAACAAAGTCCCCTTGTGCTGGAGCTGCCACCACTAGCTTCCCCCCTCCCCTACTCCCGGTTTGGCCCTCTCCCACGGCGGGCCTTCCCCATTGGCCAGACAAACACAACCGACTGCGGCAGCCAATGGGAGCCGCTCTCCTGAACATTCAGAGGATGGGTGCTTGTGGTGTGATGAGGGGGAGGTTGGCGCCTGGCACGCGCCCCTCTACATCTGGCAAGTCTGTGACAGAAACAGTAACACCCCCTACACACGCATACCAGTGTTCCCCGGCTCCCTCCTCTCAGTTGCTCGGGTCTCCGCTACCCAAGGCTTGTCTTGGCAGCGCCCTCCCAGGCTCCTCCTCGGCTCGGCAGTGCACCTGCTTCCTCAATAAGAGAGCATCTCTTTATCCCAAGGCTTGGGAAGGGGCTACGGAGGCAAGCGTGGCTCAGCTGGCCGATGCTCCCGAGGTGAAAGAGGAGTCTCCGCCCCGCTCAGTAATGTTGCTCCAAGGCCAAAGTGCTCCAGAGATGCCTTAGAGAGCTAGAGGGCAGCTTTGCCCTCCCCAGCTGTGCTCCCTGCCCGCTGACCCCCCCCCCCCCCCGCGCGCTTCAAGAAATTGGGGGGTGGGGAAGCCTGAGATCTATAAGATAAATGGGGGCGAGGAGAAGGGAAGACCATCCCAGAGGGGTGTGCGCCCCTCTCCCCACCCCCGTTGCCTCGTAGGCTTCCTCCCTGCGGTGTGTCCTTGGGGATGGGCAAGGGGGGATCCTAGCCTAAGGCGCGGCTGAGGCACAGGCTGAAGCTGAAAGCTCCAGGCTTGCAGTCTCTCTTTCATGTCTCCCTTCCCTGCCTGGCTTTTGTGTTGGTGCTTCGGAAATGTGAGGAAGGCGAGCTGGAGGAGGAGGAGGGGGACCTAGGTTGAGGGCACCCCCTGCACGCGCGTGCGTGCGCGCACGGTGCCGGCGCACGCACACACACGCGGACACACACTCACGGACACGCGCGCGGGCACACACACACACACACACACACACACACACACAGCTCGCTCGCCTCGAGCGCACTAACGTGGCCGTTTTCTTTGTGTGGAGCCCTCGAGGGGGGTTGGGGCCCCAGTTTGGTCCCGTCCTGGGGAGATGGCGCAGCCCATCCTGGGCCACGGGAGCCTGCAACCTGCCTCCACTGCTGGGCTGGCATCCCTGGAGCTCGACTCGTCCCTGGACCAGTACGTGCAGATCCGCATCTTCAAAATCATCGTGATAGGGGACTCCAACGTGGGTAAGACCTGCTTGACCTTCCGCTTCTGCGGAGGGACCTTCCCGGACAAGACCGAAGCCACCATTGGCGTGGACTTCAGGGAGAAGACGGTGGAAATCGAGGGCGAGAAGATCAAGGTGATCTAGCCGGTCGGGTCCAGAATGGGTGGGCTCTGGGAGGGGTCCTCGCCCCGGGACTTGGATCTGGTGGTTGTGAAGTCTCAGATGCATGGCTGTGTCGCTGTTTGCTGAGCCCAAGACCCTGGGCACCTCCTCATCCCCCCTTTCCTCTCTCAGCTGCCGGGTTGGATTCCAACCTCACCCGTTTTGGGCTGGGGCAGGCTGGAGTGGGTGCATTCATGCCCTCTGCCCCTACCTGACAGCTCCTGCCAGGAAAAGCATGTGTGATCCCATCCTTGACCCTGCTCCAGGAGCAGCGGCACCTGTGGGCAGAGGGAGGCAGGAGGGAATCGGTCCTGATGTGGGATGGATCCCAAAGCACTTTACATATCTTGAGGTCTCTTCTACCTCTTGGGTGCCAATAGGCTGCAAAACCCCACTTTGGTTAAGGCATTGGAGGGGAGGAAAGGATGGAAATCCATAGAAAATGACCGTTGATGGTTAACGTTAGGGCTGAAACAGAATAGGGGTGTAGTGGGGTGGTTTTGGCACAAAGTCATGAATGCTTTGTAAGACATTGAGACAGGGTCACTCACTAGCCCTTCCTAAGAGACAAAACGACTTCTTTTGGAACAGTCCTCAAATGCTATCTTCTGTATTTGTCGCTATTCGCCATTGCTCATTGTGTTGGTATTGTCTTCAGCAGGCCTTTGTAAGAATGCAGAGCAACTTATCTGAGGGTCTGCGGAAGTGTCTTGGTCCTCCCTTCTCGGTAGTTTATGAAGTAGGCTAAGTACAGATATTCTTGTCTAACCATTTGTACTCACGTTTGGTTCAGAAAAAGGTGGAAACTCAATAGAACAAGAATAGTTCAATATGCAGAGGCTAGTGAGAGAGAGGACATGGCAAGGGCAGCTTCATGTGTCAGGGGAGTAGAAAGGGGGCAGGTCCATGGGTAGGAAAGTCACCTCCAAAGACACTGTGCACTGAAGACCAACTCCACTAGACCCATAGCTGACCTTTTCTTGAGCTTACGGTCAGACCCTGTCAGGTAAAGGTAAAAAGCTCCCTCCTGCAGAGTGAGTGATATGGAGAGAAGGGCTTAGCAACTGGGGAAAATGATAAAAAAAAACACACAACATTGTAAACTCTGCAAGACTCTTGACTTCTTGGTTTTTATAATGAACATGCTTTAAAATGGCTTCAGAAACCAGGCCAAGATGCTACGTATGTCAGGAAGATGGACAGCCCAGTATTGATAAGGGAGCGCTCTCAAGAATAACTGAGTCCCAGGGTCAGGAATAGAGGACAATGTTTTGAAATAGTGATCGTTTTCAGCCCTTGCATTTTTGGAGGAATTACTATAATACATTTATTTTTTAAAATCGAAGTAGGTATCAGTCTTTCCCAGGGCTTTATGTTGATGGTTTAGGACTTTCTCTAAGGTGTCTAACTTCTTTCATGTAACGTTGTAAGATTCTGTAATTTCTAAAGCATGCCTTAACAATTCAAAGTGGAAATATACTTATGTATGTGCTCTTGGACCCTGAAGACCCTTACAATGTAATGCTACTTCCTGTTTAAAATCAAGTGTCACATTGAGCCAAACAACTCTCTGGATTTAAGAGAGGGGAAAGAAGCCCACCTGAAATTTACGTAGAGAAAAAAAGGAAGTGTTTGGGAGCGTAGGGGAGAAGACAGGAGGAAACTAGAAAGTGTAAAATGGGAGGCTGAAAATGGGTGGAAGAGGGTCACCACCCAATGCCCTTGGGGAAATTTTTTAAAAGTTTCCTTCCCTTACAACAGCCCAATACTTAGCCAAACTGGATTTTACAGTCTCTGCCAAAGATTCTGGACTTTTCCCCAAGGGGCAGAGCCTGTGACAGTGTGACTCACTAGAAAAGTGCTCAGAAGTGCTCAATACAGGTTTTTTAGGGGAAGATGATATTTCAAGAGGGTGAAACCTTGTGACACTTCTGAAGGAGCTCTCTGAGGGCGGATTCTGAGGGATCTCAAGGTGGAGCGTGGGAGTGGGGAGATGCTGACCTTGCCTCATCTAAAGCCTCAGGGCCAAAGCCAGCAGGTGAAGACCAGCTTGTCCGTGGGAAGGTGGCCGAGCATGGCAGCGAGCACATGATCTTGAAGGAGATTTGGCCCCACACTCCAGCTGGCCTGGAGTTTCTCAAGGAACAAGTAACAAAACCACACTAGGAGGTGGCTGCCAAAGGCTTCTCCCTTTGGGGGAGAGGTTAGAGTCCTGTGTGCCAGGCTGAAGTGGTCCTAGACTACAGCCTGCAATAGAAGGCTGTCAGGCTATAAAATGCCAGCTCTCAAAGGAGACTGGGAAAGAGGGCTCAGTGAGCTCTTCTCAGTCCAAGAGTAGGGTGTGGTCTCTCCTGGGCTGCTTCCCTATGCCCTAGGGTAGAACATACTGTCAACCCCTATAGGGGGATGACTGACTCAGCACGTTTGGGACAACTCTCTTAATTACCAGGGCCATCCCTTAGGCTTTGAAACCCAATTTGGTGTCTCCAGTCAATGTGTCTTTACACCCTCCTAATCACAACATTTATAATCCAATGTTTCCTAGTTAACACGAGCATCAAGAAAAGCCTCCAATAAGTAAATAATAATACTACTACTAATAATAATAAACTCTTGCTTTGTGAATAAACGAAGAGCTCAGACTGTATACTCTACATACACTACCATATTTGACCTTCACAACAGACCTATGAAATTAAGACTTATTATCATTCCTGTAGATAGATAAGGAGATCAAAGTTAGAGAGATTAAATAACTTGCCCAAAGGCATATGGATCTGAGCTTCAGTCTTTGACCCTTGAATCTAACTAAGCACTAATGCGACCTAGATTCAGAGCCCAGGCTCTCTACCACCACAGTCTACCCTCAGGGGCAATATCTGGCCTGGGGGAGCGTGCACAGGGGGAAGTGGCTTCCCTCAAAGCAGCCTGGTAGTCTTTTGTAGACCAGGGGTCCAGAGTTATAGTCCCAGGACCCAGGATCCTTCAAGTTGTCTCCTTTAACTGCACCCCAGACACTGAGCTGAGTACCTAGGTTTTTTTTTTTTTTGTTTTTTGTTTTTTGTTTTTAAGGCAGTGAGGAGATATCTGATTCTCCTATTGGTTTTTTAAAAAAATATATATTTTATTGATTTTTTACAGAGAGGAAGAGAGAGGGATAGAGAGTTAGAAACATCGATGAGACAGAATCATCAATCAGCTGCCTCTTGCACACCCCCTACAGGGGATGAGACAGAATCATCAATCAGCTGCCTCTTGCACACCCCCTACAGGGGATGTGCCCGCAACTAAGGTACATGCCCTTGACCGGAATCAAACCTGGGACCTTTCAGTCCGCAGACCGACGCTCTATCCACTGAGCCAAACCGGTTTCAGCTAGGTTTTACTTTTTGTACCTTGTATGTCTCACCTTAGCCGTGAGAATCAGGGAATGTTCAGAGATGGAAGAGACCTTAAGGAATCTTTAACCCAACATCCTCATTTTCCAGATAGGAAACTGAGGCTGAGGGAAAGTGACATGCCTAAGATCACACAGGGCCAGACCTACAACTCAGGTCTCCTAATTTCCTTTCTGGTAATTTTTTTCAATATAAATGCGTGCTTTAGGCTTGTGCCGCTATCCAGGCAGCCTATGCAATCACCTGTGACAGGGATACAGAGACACATCATATGGGAAAGCTGACAGTCCTTCCTGACATCAATCTTGGTGGAGGCATGTCCCAACCTCCAAAGAAAGAGTGGAGCTTCCCATAATGACCTTTATGGATCTGTCTCCTTTAGCTAAATCTTATTGAGCCTGTCTCAGACTAGAAGCGCTGGAAAAATGCCAAATCGGAGTGTGTGAGGGGTGGGATGAAGGAGGTATTAGAGAGGAGACTCAGAACTAATTTTGGAGCCATTCTTTGTAAATTCTCATGGGAGCGCCCCTCCTCCTTAGTTTGGTTCCTTACACCTAGTGCCCCCTCAGCCCTAGCCCTGCAGACCAGGCAAACTGCAGGTTAGGTATGGCTGTGGGCAGGCGCCAACCAGGGCTGTGGATATCTCTTTCTCTGCTGATCACTTAGAAAAATCACCTTCCTGTGTTACATTATCAAGTGGATGAAGGCTGAGCTAAGTGTTCCCTCTGAAGCTGCCTGCAGTCAGAATGACATCATGCCTTCCTTGGGGCTTCTGAGCTTCTGTCTTCTGCCAGTGAGCTTAATGGTTAATTACCCATCAGTGTGTGTTTCTCTGTCTGCCTTGTTTCCTTGCTTTCTGTGCATTAGTTCCTCTTTGTCTCTGTCCTTCTTTGCCAATCGCTGGGGCAGCCTTGTGTGTGTATCTTAGACGTAGATGGGACAGTCTAGCTAATTAAAAAAATATTTGTTTTAAACTATTCCCGTCAGCCACTCCGGCACCCTCCGAAGGTTACAGATGCGTTTTTCTCCACTTTTCCACATCTACTCTCCCCTGCTGGCCTCCAACAAAAGGACATTCATGCCTTATCTGTACAAAGATGCCAGATATGTTCCCTAGGGAAAAGAAATATTCGTGTCAGCTATGAGCATGCGCAGGGAGTGGAGGACTTGCTGAAGCTTGTTCAGTAAAATGAGGAAAAAGGCTAGATTTATTGTTGGTAGCTCCCCAGGATGTGCCTCTCGATCCTTCTCCAACATCCCTGTTATATTGGGCCTACCCCCAACTACCCATGGCAGGTTCTGGCATTCCTCTCTCCTCCCCTCCACCCCCCTCACCTGCCTGTGCCGTGGCTCTATCTCATTGTCAAGAAGCCAAGCTTTTTGGGCTTTTCAGGATGAGAACCAACGGGTCCAAGGAGCAGCTACTAGGGAAGGGCTGATGGGCCTTCTGAGTCAATAGCAACAACTAACATATGCAGAGCACTTTATGTTTTGCAAAAGCTCTTTTTCATGTGGTATTTCATTTGCCTATTCGTTTATTAGGCTACTAAGTGAAGGAGCTAGGAGCCAGGTCTC